AGAGAGATGAAGATAGAAACATCATGATTTGAAGCAGGTCCAGGCCAAAAAAAAAGAAAGAAAGCTAAGGAGAATTCAACTTCAAAAAGCAAGCTGGATGCTCAAGATAAAGGTAGGAAGATCACAGTCTAAGACCAGCCAGGAAAAATGTAAGGCCACATCTGAAAAAAATATATATAACTAAAACATAAGTCTAAAGGCTTGACCCAGTTAGTAAGATCTTGAGTTCCAATGACTTGTGCCATCAAAAAATAATTTGTACTCTAAAATGCTTATAGTGTAATATATAAAACATAGTATGATATGGTATTTTCAACATAAAATGTCTATTATAGGTAATTATATTTTTATTCCTTTAGGAATGAGTAAATACTTTACTGAGATTGACTAAGAAGAGCTGATCTCACCGTCAATGAATTTACAGTATACAGTCAACTATTTCTTCAGTGGAATGGACAGATTTGGCTTATGCTGAATTTATTTCATTTTTGTCAAGGGATACACTCTAGTGGGGTCAGTTGGCAGCTAGAATAGTAGTGTATTACAATTCCATTAATTTTATAAACTACACAAAATCAGGTATTGGAAAAATATAAATAATTTATTCCCTCTGTGCCTGAGAAACTTTAAAAAAATGCAAGAGTGCCGAGTTCCAATGGCTCACACTTATCATCTTAATTATACTCAGGAGGCTGAGATCTGAGTATTGCGGTTAAAAGCAAGTGTGGGCAGAGAAATCTGTGAGACTCAACCAGCAAAATACTATACTGGATGGTTCAAATAAAAGACCATGATCCATGAGAAAGCCAATTACCTAAGAGCCCAAGAGCAGTACTGACACCAAAACAGATTTTTTAAAAGTTAAAATTAAAATATACTAAAATAAGAACAAATGGGTGAGAATGTTCAGAAATAAGTAATGATGCTAGATATTCTTTTTAAATTTCTTTTTTGTTGATTGTAGGGATTGAACTCTGGGCCTGGGCGCTGTCCCTGAGCTCTGTCAGCTCAACGGGAGCACTCTACCACTTGAGCCAGAGCACCACTTCTGGTTTTCTGGTGGTTTATTGGAGATAAGAGTCTCACGGACTTTTTCTGCTTGTCCTAGACTTGTACATATGACAATATAAGGTGATGTTAAGTAAAATGAACCCCAAGATCCTGACACAAGTGTTTTTTTACTTTCTTGTTTTTGTTTTTAACGTATTTTAAATGTACTATGTGATTATTTTGTTTCTCTTATATATTCTTCCCCCACGGTATACCCCTGTTTTCACTGTATTAGATGTTGGTGCCCTGCATCTTGTATTTACATTTTTCTAATTTGTGGAGGGGAAGGGAAATAACAAAATTCTGAAATAAGGATATAGGTTGACCCATTGTAACAATGAGATGTACAAGGGAGGAGTTGGGGAAGTGGGGAGGAAGGGATGGTAGGGGAAAAACAAAGGTGGTGGTAACAATGCACCATAGGAAATGTACTCATTACCTTACTCATGTAACTGTAACCCCACTGTACAGTATTTTTACAATGAAATACACACACACACACACACACACACACACACACACACACATACACACACACACACAAGTTTCATGGACTTTCATGCCCAGGCTGGCTTTGAACCATGATACTCAGATCTCAGCCTCTTGAGTAGCTAGGATTACAAGTGTGAGCCACCAGTGTCTGCTTTTTAATGTTTTTTAGAAAATATATTTTTGAGCAGGTATATAATTGCCTGGTTCTAAAACTCCATTTGTACACACTGAAACTATTCCCTCATATATATTTTATGTTATTCCAACTCTTTATGCAAATTTAAATAAATAACTATATATATTTTGCTATGCCTTCTTTCTTTCTTAACCTTTCTAACATTTCATACATATTGAAATTTTTGTTTTCATGCAAGCCTTAGAAAATTACTTCTAGCTCGAAAGAGTTGAACATATTTCAAGAGATCCTTTTTGTTTTTGCTTTGCTTTATGACTCAAAATCTAAAGATGCAAGGGATAAAGGTTCTATAAATAAAGAATATCAAAAGACAGAAAAGTGAAAATTAAGGGAATTATTAGAAACCTCTAGTAGTTGTCTAAACTATAAATGTAAAGGGCAGCAGTAACCAAAATGGACTACTGCATTGTGGGCATTTTTTGCTTGAAATTGTCCATGCATTGAAAGAATACACAGATCACAAATATTTAGAATTGGTGTATTTCTGGGTTTGTCTAAACAATTCAAGGGTTCTTATATTGCTACTTAAACTATTTCAAAATCTAATGCAACACTTAATTGGCAAATGTTTTTATCATTGTGCAATTTCTCTCACTGAACTCTCCACCCTGGATCTCTACAGGCTCATCTTAGCTTAGTGTCAAATGACATTTACATTAAACATGGCTATGGGTCATTGGCCAACACCAAGAAAAAAAAAAGAGAATAAAATAGATTGATCTGGATGGATTTAACTTTTGCTCTATTTTTCTGGGAAAAAATCTGGTTTGTAAGACCTCTGTGTAGCTAGGGCCCATGAATTTTAACCAGATGCTCTGTTAGGTCTCCAGATGATAAAATAATAGTAGAGTCCAGAGAGTAATAATTCCTTGGCTGCTAGAGAGAACAAAGAAACATTGATAAATGTTTACCACCCAACTTTAAAAGATACATTGCTTGGATTTTTCCTGATGACTTGGGTCGAGTGAGTAACATTGAAAAATCAATCTCTCAACATGTTCTTCACATTAACATGACTTTTTCTTCTCAATCTCTGTTATAATATATTCAATTATAAATAGAGTAATAAAGGAAAAATTTTAAATGATATAAGAAATTCCCTTCAGATATTTCCTCCCACACCTTCTGAAATTCTTAACGATATGTTTGTTCTTCCATTAAAAATCTCTCCTTGGGCTGGGAAGGTGGCTCAGTGGTAGAGCGCTTGCCTTGCATGCCTGAGGCCCTGGGTTCGATTCCTCAGCACCACATAAGCAAAAAGAAAAAAGCCGGAAGTGGCACTGTGGCTCAAGTGGTAGAGTGCTAGCCTTGAGCTGAAACTGAGGGACAGCTCCCAGGCCCAGAGTTCAGGCTCCACAACCAGACCCAAAAATAAATAAATAAATAAAATAAAATCTCTCCTTTAGGGAGAATGATAAAAGGGATGACAGTGAATCAAGGTTCATTGTATACATAGACTGTTGTGTGGAATGGCAATTCCTTTGTACAACTACTTAAAAATAGTAAAAAATCTCTGTACAGTATGTTCTCAAATAAAATAAAATAAAATTTAAAAAAAATAGTAAAAAATATATGTCTTACACTTTAATTTAGTAAATTGGTGAATTTTATGTATAATTAATATCATCAAAATGTCACCTTACTTCCCTAATTCAATATTTTAAATCATTTTATTATTTTGATACAATTATGCAACACTATGATGATTATTCATATTTTTGCATTACAGTTGACTTATTATATATTTTTGCCTGAAATCTCTTATCGTACACTGGAGAAGGTAGTCATTATGTAAATGTAATGAATATTAGATTAGGTGCTGCAGGCATTTCCAATAGTATTGACTACACAGATTGCTCTTAGCTCCTTTTATAGGTTGTTGCTTGTAATTTAATTATTCAGCAATCAATTTAATTATTTGTTATGGTATCTGGATTGAATAGCTACAACAGAATGATACTGTATCTTCGTAGCTATTATTTAGTAACATACCCCAAAAGTCTTTTATATTCTTCTGCAGCATTTATTCTTAAGACTTGATAAATTGAATTATCAAATCATAATTTGATTCTAAAGACTATAGTTATTCACACTACTTTATGGTTTGAGATAATTGTCTGTGGACAAAATTATAATTTGACCTAGTATCTACTACCTCTAAGACCCACTCCTGACTTGAATCATGATTTTTAAATCTCTTCTGCTTTATTTTGTGTTCAAGAAATCTTATGTAGTATGCAAAATCCCAGATTCTACCCACTGCCAAATTTAGTTCCTTTTTTTGTTAGCATACGATATTTGAATAAAGGATTTCCATTGTGACATTTGCATATGCATATATGATGTCCTTGGATCTTATTCACCCCCGCTATTCATCTCTCATCACCCTCCTAATCGATCCCATTTTCAAAATTTGAATGGATTTAATTATGCTATTTTTATAAATGACCATAATTTAATTCGTTCACCTTCACACCCGTATCATCTTCTCCTTTCACTGGTTCCTTTTCCCAAATAGTTATCCTTTAACATCCATGTCACATTGTCTATATTACAATTGTGAAAGAAAATATGAAGAATTTGTCTAGGAATGACTTATTTTAACTTAAGGATCTCCAGTTATATCTATTTTTCCTTCAACAAACAACTTTTTATTTGATAGCTAAATAATACTCTACTGTGTATATGAACCACATTTTCTTTATCCATCAGTTTATGGGCACCTGTGTTGAAATCCATTCTATGCCTATTGAGAAAAGGGCTGCTAGAATTAAGGATTTGCAGTCATTTCAATTTCATGCTAACTTAAAATGCTTTGGATAGTACCCAGGTATAATGGTATACAACTTTTAAAAGGAAGCTGCATACTGATTTCCATAGTGGCTACACTGATTTACAACAAGGTCTGAGGTTTCCTTTTATTTCTATATCTTTTTTGTTATTTTATTTTTTCTTGGTGATAACTATTCTGACTGGGTTAGGATATATCTAGAGGAGTTTTTATTTGCATTTCCTTTATAGCTGAGAATGTTGAATGTTTCCACATGTGTCTACTGTTTGTATCTACCATTTCTACTTCTTTTTATAACTGTCAATTCACTTTATTTGCCCAGTTACTAACTGGATTATTTGTCTTTGTGTCTTAATTTGACAACTGTGAATATGACATATCATGGCCTGTTGATGGATGGCAAAGGTAAAATTAAGATTATTATTTACTAGTCAATTAATTTTAAGTAAATAAAAAAAGAAATACAGTGGTGTGCTCACTTTGGCAGCACATATACTAAAATTGGAATGATACAGAGAATATTTGTATGGCTGCTGTGCATGGATGACATGCAAATTTGTGAAACTTTCCATAACTTTTCACTAGCTATACAACAGACAAGAGCCTCATATCTAAACTATACTTATAACTCAAAAATTAAACTATACTTCTAACCCCAAAAAACAAATTCTCAAAGAAACATCCACCCGATTAATAAGTGGACTAAAGATTAAAAAGAGACTTCTCTGAAGAGGAAATAAGAATGGCCAATAGACACTTCTCTGGCCACCTCACCCCAGTTAGAATGGCTATAATCAAGAAATCTAAGAGCTGGAGGGAATGTGGCCAAAAGGGAATGCTACTACACTGTTGGTGGGAGTGTAACCTTATTCAACCACTCTGGAAAGTAGTATGGAGGTTCCTCCAAAGACTAAACATAGAGTTCCCCTATGACCCAGCAATCCCACTTTTGAGCATTTACCCAAATGATCACAAACAAGGCTATTCTAAAGCTACCAGCACAACTATGTTTATTGCAGCATTATTCACCATAGCTAAGATATGGAACCAACCAAGCTCCTCAAAACATGCATGGATCAAGAAAATGTGATATCTATCTATCTATCTATCTATCTATCTATCTATCTATCTATCTATCTATCTATCTATCTATCTATCTATCTATCTGAATTCTAAGATTCCATCAGAAAGAATGACACAACCTCATTTGTAAGGAAATGGAAAGAATTGGAAAAAAGTCATATTAAGTGAAGCAAGCCAGACCCAAAGAAACATAGGTTCCACGGTTTGCCTTACTTGCAATAATTGCTATATGTTTAAGATAATCTTAGCAGTTGAGCAGAGTAGCTCAATAGCTATGTACATATGACCTATAAGATGATGCTAAGTAAAAGGAACTCCAAGACATGGACACAGAGGTTCTGCTTTGTTGTATTTGTTGCTTTTTAATGTACGATGTGATTTCTTTTTCTTTTGTGTTTTCTTCCCCCTATGCTTTAATCCCCTGTTGTCACTGTATTTGATTAGCCTGGTATTGTATATGTTTATCTGAATTAGGGAAGGGAAAGGGAACAATAGAATGGTGATAAAGAGGACCAGTAGGGGAACCAATGCAACAGTGATACTCACAAGATAATACGTTGGAAATGATATGTTTGACTTTGAGGGAGGATTTAGGGGAGGGAAAGAGGGAGAGAAATGAGGGAAGTGGTAACAAGTTTGACAAGAAATGTACTTATTACCTTACTTATGTAACTGTAACCTTTGTATACCAACTTGACAGTAAATATAATTTAAAAAATTAAACCTTTCAAGTTCAGGGACTGATAACAAAAATGGATTCAGTAAATACAAATAATAAATTACAGGATTGATATCCACTCAAAGGTTTGCCTCCGATAGACTTTTTTTCCACTAGCTCAACTTTCTGAAGGTCGAACCTCCTCATAATAGCACCACATGTTGGGAACTAAGTTTTCAATAAATGGGTCTCTGGGAGATATTCAAGATCTTAACGGGAGTAATGATGGAGAAAGAAAAATGTAAGACTATTTTGTTTCTAAGACTTCGAGCAGCCCTGTTTCATTATGACAGAAGGACAGCTCTTATATCTGAGGTAGCTCAGCTTCCTTAGTATCTGAAAGTACTTTAAAGTACTAAGAACTGAAGCCAGTATAGATTTTTGTTTTAATCTGCACTGAACAATATTAAGAATAAATGTACTTCGAGTTGAGTATAATGAGAACAAATAAACATAGTTACTTTTATTTTTTGGTGGTGGGGCTTGAACTCTTGGCCTGGGCACTGTCCCTCAGCTTGTCAGCTCAAGGCTAATGCTCTACCACTTGAGCCATAGTGCCACTTCCAGTTTTCTGGTGGTTTATTGGAGATTAGAGTCTCACGGACTTTCCTGTCTGCGATGGCTTTGAACCGCGATCCTCAGATCTCAGCCTCCTGAGTAGGTAGGAGTACAGGTGTGAGCCACCGCCACCTGGCAAATAAGGTTTTTTACTGTAGTGACTTACTTGATCCTGATGGGGAGACTATAATGTTTTGCTGAGACATATTTCAAATGAATTTACCCAATCCTTTAAAAACTCAGATTAAAACCATCCAACCCAGATCATACCATACTATATGTGCCTTTTATTTCCCTACTCTGAAACATTAATAAGTAGTTGTATTGCCCCTTCCTAAAGGAGTTGAAGGGGAACAAATGTGTTTAGTTTTGCTTAAACAAAGCAGTTAGTGGGATCACTCCTCTTTCTTCTTTTATCCATTCTTCTTTTCTTGTTCCTCTTCCTCCCCCTCCTACCCCTCCTCCTTCTCTTCCTCCTCCCCCTCCCTCTTCTCCTCCTCCTCCTCCTCCTCTTCCTCCTCCTCCTCCTCCTCTTTATCAGCACTAGAGTCTAAGCACAGAATTCTGTGCTTTCAAGGCAGACAAACTACAGAAAGTTCTCAAAAACTTTTTGCCTTGGTTGCCCTCAATATGTAATCTTGATTGTTACTTCTATGGTAGCTAAAATATAACAAGTGTGAGCCATCAGTGTCTGGTGCAAATGAATTAGTTTTATATTTTGGAGGACCTGACAATCAACAGACAAAAAGAACAAAATCCCAAGTGTACAGTATATATCATAATCTTTTACCTTGTGTCTTTTACTTTCATTTTCAGGACAGGAGAAGGAACACAGTAATGTGTAATGGATGGGAAACATGTTTTCTTTATAGTGAAAATTGTTTACGTAGCTCCCAGGATCAGTTATTAAAGAATGGCATTAGCTGGGCTCCAATAAAGGTGTCATGGAAGATAACCTCACAGTGATGGGTGCATGTACAGAGAGAACACATCTCAGAACTGATACAGAAGTCAGGCTCATGCTTTATGAGGTGATCTGTTGAGACTACCTCAGGAGTCTCACTTCAGCTACCTCACACCTTCCAGAAGTAGTAACTTTGGGTGCCAAAGGACCTGCCACTCAAAGGTCCTACCACGTCTCACATTGCTATACTGAGTCCATGTCTTGAACATGGACAAAGCTACAAAATGTGATACAAAGACATCGGAGAATTATAGGAACACTCAAACATCCCCTGGTCTTATTTTATTTCTCAATGTTGAACAGAATGCAAGGGACATGCAACAACAGGAAGACAGCACGAACTCTTTTCATCTCCTTCATGATATTTTCATCTTTTTTGGTGGAAATGTCTTTGAAAAAATGACATATGACTGACTTTGTAAAGAAAAAAGAACAAACACACAATATGGTAGACATGATTTTTTCACCCATAGGTTCTAGATCTTGGTGTTTCTGGAAGATTCTCTTGTTCTGTCTTGGTGTCTGCTGAGAATATGTGCAGACACGTGGCTTGTTAGAAAATAATATTTAAGGCCGTTGTAAGACTTAAACATTGTATAGTAAGTTGAAAACTGATTACACAATGGTTGTCAAAAGTTGTTCAAATGTGTTTGGTGTTCTTAATCATAGAAATCCATCATTTTATGCTTACATTGAAATGTGAATATTTTCTATCATTTCTTTTTCAGTTTTAGTTGTGTCTTTTGTTTTGTTTAATTGTGTTTTTTTGTTTTGATTTGAGGTATTCATATTTGAACTTAGGGCCTCAAGCTTTCAAGGCAGGTGCTCTATCAATGAGCCATATCTGTAGCTCTTAGCTGGCCATTTTTTAACTGATCAGGTTTTAACTCATGAATTTTTGTACTTTTAACGTGCTTATGTGAGATTTCATGCAATCTCACGTTTAGGAAAATAAGAGGATTTTGATGAAGGAATAAAAAGTAGTATGAAATTTTGAGGATTATGGAAATATGTTAGCCTCACATTTTACCCCTAACCTACAACTAGCCTTCAGTTCAGGATATGTTTGAAATCAGCACAATTGTCAGTAGATAACAAGATAGCAACAACTTCAGAACTCTCTTTCAATTATGTTTCTCCAGCTTATATTTTAGATGTAATTCAACTTCATTGAACTCGCTAATTATACTCTCTAGGCCTGGCCCCTGTGAGCTATTGATTTATATACTTTAGTCTTGGAATCAATTACTTTCTCCTTACATATCTCTATGTCCATGTAAAAGTGGGGATGATAAAACAGCGTATATACTTAAATATCTGATACAATTGTGCAGGATAGGAATCTATGTCTTCCTTTGCCATACTTACCTTTCAAAAGCTGTTTCTTTTCATATTAACGATTAATTTATAAGAAACAGAGGTGCTTTCTTTCAAATGCATAAAAACACAATTAAGTCCTACTTAACAACAAGCATATAAATGGGATTTTTTTATTATTATTGTGAAAATACCATACAGAAGTTTACAATTACATGGGCAAAATAGTGAGTACGTTTCTTATTAAGCATTGTTGCCTCCTCCTTGGTTTCCTCATACCATCCCTTCCCCTCTCCCCCCTCCACCCCCGCCCCTCCCTACCACCACCCCCACCCCTCACACCACCAAAGTTGTGAAGTTCGTTTTTCGACATAATGGCTTGTACATCTCATTGTTGTAATGGGTCCACCTATAACCCTATTTAAACAATTTGTTTTTTCCCTTTCCCTCCACAAATTATATCAACATCAAATAGAGTGAAAGCAGAGCTTATACCATAGGGGAGGTACATACAAAGCAACAAAGAAATCATCTTATAAATATGTTGGAAACAATCACAAGAAAAAAAACATTTGAATCTTATCTTGGGGTTCATTTCGCCTAACATCAATTTGTCTGAAAGTTTCAGTTTATCTCAGACATATACTAGTTATTGCAAATAAGGGAAACCATGAGGCCTATATTTCTTTGGGCCTGACTTACTTCACTTAATATAATTTTTCCAAGTCTTTCCATTTCCTAACAAATGGGGCAATGTCATTCTTTCTGACAGAGGCATAGAATTCCATTGTGTATATATACCACATTTTCTTGATCTGTTCATCTAGTGAGGGGCATCTGGGTTGGTTCCATATCTTAGCTATGGTAAATAATGCTGCAATGAACATAGTTGTGCTGGTTGCCTTAGTACGGTCTTGTTTGTGATCATTTGGGTAAAT